AATTATGTACTAAATGTATTTTATTTGATAGTATACAAAATAAAATATTTTTAATACTAAATTAATATACTTTTAAATAATGTCTTCAGTACACAAATAATGTACCTTTAGTATATTAAACTAGTTTTTTTACGCGCTTTGCGCGAATGTGATAATGCCCAATGATTATTTTTAAATAAGTATTTCAAAGTATATCAACGCAATATTATATCGGAGATGTTAATGCATATGTAAATAAATATTGAATTTGTTTATTTAAATCGGTAATTCAAAATATATAAATGCAAGATAATATTTATTGAATTTTCTAATCGATATTTGGTAGTGGTAGTTTTCCCCTACATGTTTCATGCATTGTGAGATGTGTGTCGTAAGTTATCATGTGAAAGTATTGAACAAAATATTAATATTTATTATATTTGTATAAAATACTTGGTAAATAAATATATATAATGTATTTTGTATTATAACTTTGATATTTAATTACAAGATAATGTAAAAAGAAGACAATGGACAATGCACTGAACATAATAAATTAATAAATTTGAAGGTAATGAATCTTTGAATTGTAGAAAATAAAGATAATATAACTAATGAAATTATATCTATTTTTAAATTTTTTATAATGAATAATTTTTTTTTAAATAAAGGCATTATAGACATCTAATTCTAAATTAATTAAATGCATATGTATTATTTTTTGTTGTAGCTATTACTTTATTTAGTTTAAGAGCAATAAAGTGGGCAAATTATGCTATAGAACCGTGTCCACCTTGCAAGGTGGACATGCATATCGGAGATGTTCATGCATATGTAAATAAATATTGAATTTCTTTATTTAAATCGGTAATTCAAAATATATAAATGCAAGATAATATTTATTGAATTTTCTAATCGATATTTGGTAGTGGTAGTTTTTCCCTACATGTTTCATGCATTGTGAGATGTGTGTCGTAGGTTATCATGTGAAAGTATTGAACAAAATATTAATATTTATTATATTTGGTATAAAATGCAGTGAATATAATAAATTGATAAATTTGAAGGTAATGAATCTTTGAATTGTAGAAAATAAAGATAATATAACTAATGAAATTATATCTATTTTTAAATTTTTTTATAATGGATAATTTTTTTTTTTTAAATAAAGGCATTATAGACATCTAATTCAAAATTAATTAAATGGATATGTATTATTTTTTGTTGTAGCTACTACTTTATTTAGTTTAATAAGAGTAATAAAGTGGCGTATATACTTTTTATCAACAATAATGCAATCATTGATTTTTTAAAAAAAAAATACATACAAAAAATATTAATGCAAAAGTATAATTGAAATATTAAGTTTTTTTCTGATCTAAATAATCAAAAGAATATTAAGTTTTTTTCTGATCAAATGATTTTTAAAGTTCTTGATTTATAATCTTTGATGCTTAACTTTGAATGTTATGTATTTAGTCAGACTAATTATTTGAACAAAGTTTATGTTAAATTTTATATTATATATATTTTAAATATATTTTAACATATTCGTAGTATATGTTTAACAATTATGCCAACTCTAATTAGGATGTGGTTCGAAACTAAGACTTTTCTTATAGAAATTAATGTGTAAGTTAAAATAATAAATACTTAACGGAATATTCCGTTACTAAAGTTTATGCTAACGGAATTTAGGTTATTTAAGGGAAGAAAATAATATAATAGAGGGTAAATAAGAAAAATCAATAAAAAATACTAAAATAAAAATACTATGAACCATTCATTTTAAGAAATAATAGTATAATATGAACCATTCATTTTAAGAAACAAAAGGATCGACAATTTTTTTTTCCAGTTAAGGGCCTAACATTATTGGCTCTTATTAGAATTGTAGATAGATGTAGATGTAGATGTAGAAATATATATTTTATTTATGATCCGTTTAATTTATGATCCACAGAGCATAGAGATTGGTGACTGGTGAGACCAATCCAATCTTCTACAATCGTTATGCTATGGACCCGTGTCCAGCATGCAATATGGACACGGTAACGGTGCCGTTGGGCACCGTTATCTTCCACCATTTTTTTTAAAAAAAAAATTCCAGACAACTTTGTTATAGGAGCATATGTTCATAATTTTATTACTATATGTTCATAATTGTAAGTTCATAATGTCAGAGCTCTGTGTTCATAATTCGATAACGGTACATTCATAATTGCATAACTGTACATTCATAATTCTGTAACTGTACATTTATAATTCAATAACTATAAATTCATAATTTTCGAAACTCTATGTTCACAATTTTAGAGCTCTATGTTCATAATTTTATCACTATATGTTCATAATTGTAAGTTCATAATGTCAGAGCTCTGTGTTCATAATTCCATAACTGTACATTCATAATTTCATAACTGTACATTCATAATGTTACAAACGAATAACGCCGTTAACAACGAGACAAAATCAATTTTTTTTTTTGAATTGAAAAACCACATTTTCCCTTAAAACGACGTCGTTTTGGACTCGTGTCCACAATGCATTGTGGACACGAGTCCACAGCATAATTTGCGAATCTTCTAACAACCTCGTCTGGAAATGATAATTGTATTTTTAAAAAGTAAAACAAAATTATATATCAAATTTTTATAGAAGAGAGAAAAGAAACGTGATAAAAATTGTGATTAATATATTCGGACTAGTAAAGATCAACAAATTGTCTTGCAAAGATAGCAAGTAGCGATGAGAGTGGGTGGCATGACGAGAGCGCACCTTCGATTGAGTTTGCACAATTTTTGAGTGATGATAAAAATTTACCATCATTATTTAAAGGTGTACATTGGGTAAATTTTTATTTGTTTTTAAAAATAATACATTGACTTTGTTATAATGTAGTATTTGTTCATAATTACTTTCTCAACCTACTGAAGCATAAAGAGTCAATATCGCTTTTAGTCCCTTCATTGAGGCTCAAATCACAATCTCCTATATGAAAATGTAATTTAATGTCAGAATTAATTTCACTTTTGGTCCCACGACTTTTGAGTTCTTATCACTTTTGGTGCACAACTTTAAATTTTTTCAATTTTGGTACCTAACTTTGTTATTTTTATCAGTTTAGGTCCTTCTAGCCAAATTGACGATAAAATATTTCCAGATTTTATATTTTAGGGGCAAAATCGTCATCCCATGGAAAGATCTTCAATATTTAAACAAAAGAAAAATCATATTAAGAGGAAAAGAAGAGTTTGCCAATGGTCGAAACTATAAATCCCATAGATCTGTCTGGTTTCTGCCCATCTTCCCCATTATTCTTATCATCAAACACCTATAGATATGATTTTACGGTGATTTTGTTTAGATATTGAAGATGTTTCCTTAGGATGACGATTTTACCCCTAACAATATAAAATCCAACAACATTTCACTGTCAATTTGGCCGAAAGGACCAAAATTGATAAAAATAACAAAGTTAGGCACCAAAATTAAAAAAATTTAAAGTTGTGCACCAAAAGTAATAGAACATCAAAAGTCGTGGGACCAAAAGTGAAATTAATTCTTTAATGTCACTAGACCACACTATCATTGTCACATTGGATAAATCTAATCTTATGAGTTGGCATAAATTGTACGTGATGATTGTTGGCGGTACTCTAAAGCCAAAGAAAATACTTGACATAATTAATTAATTGTGTTATATTTAGAGATGATAGGTTTTTCAGGAAAAAAAAAAATAGACTATGGGATAGAAAGAATAATCTTTTAACGGGCTTGAGTCAGGGACGGAGCCAAAGGGAGGACAGGGGGGCAGCTGCCCCCCTCACCCCACCCCCACACCCACCCTATATATAATTTTTGTATGTATATATGTAGATATAGTACAAGTTTTAGTATTAGTATAAAAAAAAACTAGGAAAAAGTGTCAAATTGGCCCCCTAAATCGACCGGATAGTGCAATTGTGTCCCCTAACTAAAAAAAGCTCCATTCAGATACTCTAAACCTGTAAAATTGTTCAATTAAATCCAAGGTGACTTGTTTAACATGTTAAATCTTCACATTGTTGACACGTGTCACTTTAAAATATATTTTTTTGTTTGTTTTTTTTTTTAAAAATGATTTATTTATTTATTAAAACATATATTATATATATAAATAATTTTTTTTTTTTAAAAAAACAAAGCTATTTTTTTTTTGAAAACGCACAAAGTTGTTTAGGTGGTTGTGTTTTTTATTTTATTTTATTTTATATATATATATATATATATATATATATATATATATATAATATGTTTTAATAAATAAATAAATCATTTTTTTAAAAACAAACAAAAAAAAAATATTTTAAAGTGATATGTGTCAACAATGTGAAGATTTAACCTGTTAAATAAGTCACCTTGGACTTAATTGAACAATTTTACAGGTTTAGGGGATCTAAATGAAGCTTTTTTTAGTTAGGGGGCCCAATTGCACTATCCGGTCGACTTAGGGGGCTAATTTGACACTTTTCCCCAAAAACTATTAAATGTCAACAAGAATGAGTTTGATTAGTTGGTTGAGCACATGTTTGACAATTGTAAAGGTTGAGGGTTCAAATCTTAGTATCAACTTATTTTTATAGTGTTTGACAAATTACGGTCCACACAGTTGTGTGGATTACGGTTCAAAACAATGTTGTTAAATTTTATGAATTAAAATAATATATATTATAAATTAGAATAATGTACTTTATGTGTTAGAATAATGTACATTATTTGTTAAAATAATACAATTTCTGAGGTAAGATAATATATTTTATAAATTAGAATAATGTACATTATGCTTTACAAGTTATAAAACTGTATGTTACAATAGGTCACGTAAAAAAAAAGAAAAAAAAAAAAAACTACCCGAAACGACTTCGTTTTATAACTATTGGAACACTTCCCTCTTCCGCCACTGAGTCAGTGAGACACTGTCACACTCCGTTGAACTAAACTACTGAACGATAACTCTTGGAAGTTTGGAACACTTCCCACTGAGTCACCGTCACACTCCGTTGAACTAAACTACTGAACAATGGCGAGTTCGCCGCCGTTCATACTGTGCCTACTCTTCCTGTTCTTCGTCTCGTCGCAAACCTCCTTCTCTCTTCCACGATCTTCCAAGTCCGCCGCTCGCTTTCGCAACAAATTCCTGCGATTACCCTCCAAGACAATCGGAGCACCGCACTACAAATACGAGATTCGCTACTTCCAGCAGCGGCTGGACCACTTCAGCTTCGCCGATCTCCCTCCCTTTCGTCACCGTTACCTCATCAACACCGATCACTGGCTAGGCCCGTCTCGCCTTGGCCCCATCTTCTTCTACTGCGGCAATGAAGGAGACATCGAATGGTTTGCCGCCAATTCCGGTCTCGTCTGGGAACTCGCGCCTCGCTTCGGCGCCATGGTTATCTTCCCCGAAGTAATTTTCATAATTTCATGCTTCGGTATCCATATCATTACCAAACACTCTACACTTAGTTGTTTCGTTATTTGCGCATTTAATTTCTTAAACTTTCCTCAAAGCTCTTGGTTTCGCCTTGTCTGTTTATGGTATTTCATTCTAGTACTTGGCTGTGTAATTCCTTGATCATTATGAGCAGACGCTGGTAGAATTTTGACTGGGATTTGAAATTGGCAGCATAGATACTATGGAGAATCAATGCCCTACGGAAGTAAGGAAGAGGCATATAAGAATGCGACCACGTTGGCATATCTAACAACTGAACAAGCGTTGGCAGATTTTGCAGTGTTAATCACTGAGCTCAAACGCAATACTTCTGCCCAGGCATGCCCTGTGGTTTTATTTGGAGGATCATATGGTGGAAGTAAGGACTTGTACCAGTTGTTTTGCTCTAAATTCATTAACATTTTGATTGATATGTTGTGATTTATATTATGTATGAGTGCAGTGCTTGCAACATGGATGAGGCTTAAATATCCTCACATTGCAATAGGCGCACTTGCTGCTTCTGCCCCAGTTCTTCAGTTTGAAGATGTTGTGGACCCCGACACATTTTACAACATTGTCTCCAATGATTTCAGAGTTTGTCGTCTACTTCGGTTTCTATTGGTCACTAGTTTAGATGTGATGAATACTTGGAGTCATGTTTCTGGTTTATTAATTTGATGACAGCGTGAGAGTATTAGCTGTTTCAACACTATCAAAGAGTCGTGGGATGTAATAGCATCAGTAGGATCGACAAATGGTGGACTTTCACTACTGTCCAAGACTTTCCATCTTTGTGGGTAAAGAAAATAGATATAATGATGGTTGTTAATTTAAATATAAACTTTGATGTCCAATGATTATGCAAGACTTTTTGTTTTCAATTTTCTTTTCCCTTTTTATATGGAGTTGTTAAAGTTGAACTTAGAACAATAATGCAGGGAACTAAAGAATTCTTACGACCTTTCTGACTGGTTGGAGTCTGCATATAGTTATTTGGCAATGGCTGATTACCCATACCCAGCAGATTTTTTAATGCCTTTACCCGGAAATCCAATAAAAGAGGTTTGTTTTGCCTTCTAGTTTTTTTTTTTTTTTTTTTTTTTTTTTTTTTTTTTTTTTTTTTAATGGTTTCTTGAAAGAATCTTTTGCTGCTAGGATTTTTGCACTTCTCTGAAGTCCAGAAATTTTGTTATCACATATTTAATTTATCCTGGTTATCAAGTAATAGTAGTCAATATTCAAGGAAACTAGTTTCCTTGTGAAAATCCACACCTCCTAATCTTTCATGGTTGGTCAAGGTGTCCAAGTAGAGAGTGTAAAGAGTCTTGCTTGTTAAATTGTAGCCAGTACATTCTTTCTTCTACCAGTATTTACAACTGTATTTCCATTTGTCATTGTTTCATTTTTCAGGTTTGTAGGAGAATTGACAGTTTACCTGATGGCACGAATATCCTGCAGCGAATATTTGAAGGAGTTAGTGTCTATTATAATTACACTGGAACAGTTGACTGTTTTGATTTGGATGATGATCCTCATGGTATGAGTGGCTGGGACTGGCAGGTGCAGTGATGCTACAAAACAAATATTCTTGCTCCTTTTTTGGGTATTTAATTTTGTGACGCCTAGTTCCAAAGCAATCTTACGAGTTACAACTTACAAATGCCTCCTTAAAAAGTTGCATGTGTTATTGATTCTGTATCTACAGGCATGCACTGAAATGGTTATGCCAGTGTCAAGTAACAGCAACACGAGTATGTTTGCAGCATTTGATTATGAATACAGCGCTGATGAAGAGTATTGCTATAATAGCTACCATGTTATTCCAAGGCCTACATGGATAACAACTGAATTTGGTGGACATGTATGGCAATTATTTCTACAGCTTTTGTATGCTTATCAGCCCTTTTCAAATTGCGTATCAAACATGGATTAAATAGTGCAAACTATCTGATCTTAATTATCTTAAGAACATGGTTGATTCTTCTTACTATGTAGACCATCCTGTATTGCATAAAAGTTATAAAATGCCTTGCTCCTTTCTTTTTACGTAGTAATTTTGTTTTATCTTTATTGTGTTGAAGGACATCAAGACTGCTCTTGGAACTTTTGGGAGCAACATTATATTCTCAAATGGTCTCTTAGATCCATGGAGTGGTGGCAGGTATTTTTCTTGTTACATACATTACCATATAGATTTGTGGAAACTAGCTGCACGGTTTTGATGTTAATAATGTATTATATGTTGCAGTGTTCTTCAGAACATATCAGAAACGATTGTTGCTCTTGTTACTGAAAAAGGTAATTCCATTTTCATCTCTCTTAGCTATTTAACGTATGATCTTTGGTTTTTAACTGCTACGTAATATATTATAATCCATTTTGGACCTTTTCCATGATCACTCTGAGATGGGGGACATCAGCTTTTAGTTGTAGAACACCAAAATGTAACCAATTTTATATCAATTCTAATGAGCCTAGGATGCATCTCTGTGTGAATTCCATATATATGAACTTAAATGTTGCTGCACTAGGATGAATAGTATCTCTTCTTTCTCTTTAATAGTTTAATCATTGCGGTTTAGGTAATTGTAGCGTCCATCAGTGTTAAGTCATTATATGCAATCAATGAAGTCTTGAATTTCCATGTTGTCAAGCATTTAGCACTAAGTTTCCATGGATGCTAAATGCTTGCCTGTAGTAGAAGTTGCTGTGTAAAGTTCATTAAATGTGTCCTAGCATAAAGTAGGACATTATGCCATGTGTTTTTGTTATTGATTTGGTAACGGAAAATGATAAGTATATTCTAATGGAGTAAAACTTCCCCTATTTGTAAATAATTAAATAAAAACAGTGACCCTTTCTTTTTTTTCCTGATGACACGTCAGTACGAAGTAAAAAGTGAAGTACATATAATATTACTCTTTGATATCCGGATGCATGATCATAGATTAGGGGCGTAAACGAGTCAAGCCGAGCTCGTCAAGGCAGGCTCGAGCTCGAGCTCGATCAAGCTCAACAATTTATGCTCGAGCTCGATTGTTCGAGCTCGATTTTGACTTCAAATTTGACCTGTTTGATTTTAAATTCATGTTTCAATTAAAAAGAAAAAGGTATATATTGCCGTATCTTGTCTCTGTGTCGTTGTCGTCGACAGTCTTTCAGACTCCAGAGTTAGGGCTTGGGGCGAATGGGGGCGGGAGTGCAGGATTGCAAGAATAATGGAGTGGGTTAAGGGAGTAAAATTTTAATTTTTAATAATAATAATAATAATATTATTATTATTAGGGGAAAATGACACTTTTTCCCCCTTAGTTATATACTTATAGCACTTTTTCCCCCTGAATTATTTAAGTGGCTCTTTTTCTCACTGAAATGTTAAATGGACATATTTACCCTTAAAATAGATATTTAAAGTAAATATTTCATTTATTTTTATTCTCCAACTAATTATTACTATAATTTGGTTCAAACCAAACAGATACTATAGCAACCAAACCAAAATATTTCAATTACAATTTATAATCAAAACGCGATATTTAGAGTTTATTAAAATCGCGGACCGGAATGGCCGGTTCATGTTCCGAACTGAAAAAAATAAAATACATTTATTGTTGAATTTAGACTATTTTAAAATTTTAAAATAAAGACGGTTCAAAATCGCGAACTGGATCCGGAATTGCCCGTTCACGGTTCATGATCCAGTTTTTTTTATTCTTAAATTTAATAAATTGAAATCAAAATATTGGGTTCTAGATCTGAATCATAACTGAAAACTTTTAATTCGATTGCTATAGTGTCTGGTTCAGTTCGAACCGAACCGTGGTAATCGCTACATATACGCAATAATTTGTTAGAGAAGTAAAATAAATAAAATGTTTACTTTAAGGGTAGAAATGTCAATTTAATATATTAGGGGGAAAAACTACCACTTTTAAAATAATTGAGGGGGCTAATGTGCTTACATAAATAATTGAGGGGGAAAAAGTGCTATAAGTATATAATTTAGGGGGAAAAAGTGCCATTTTCCCTTATTATTATTATTATAAGGCTCGCGAGCGGCTCATCGAGCCACGAGCATAGGATATATGAGCTCGGCTCGAGCTCGATTTTGACCGAGCTTTGACCGGGCCGCGCGCAAGCGGCTCGGATCATTTACACCCCTATCATAGATTGATTAGATTCAGCATATTGCCGCTGTAGTGTAAGAATAGCCAGTTTGGAGTTGATCACACTACATTTTACAGAATTCATGAACCTCATACATTTTGCTCTGATCTTCTTAGGTGCCCATCACTTGGATCTGCGTGCTGCGACGCCAGAGGATCCGGATTGGCTGGTGGAGCAGAGGGAATCTGAAGTAAAGCTGATAGAAAGCTGGTTGAACAGTTACTTCGAGTCAAAAAGGAAAAGTTTCTCCATTTAGAAGGTGAGTTCTTGGCAGCGAAACCTTGGTTGTTTTAACTCCCTGTTATTAAGAAACAAGTAGCATGTCTAGTATGGTAAACAAATCCCACGTTTACAAAAACTTATGTTACAGTATTTCCTCGTTATTTTAGTCTTTGTTCAAAAACCATGTTTCACCAAAACCTTATTAATATCTATCTACATCTACAATCTACATTTACATCTACATCTACAATTCTAATAAGAGTCAATAATATTAGGTCCTTAACTGGAATAAAAAAATGTTGGTACTATTGTTTCTTAAAATGAATGGGTTATATTATTTTGATTTTAGTATTTTTAAATGATTTTTCTTATTTACCCCCTATTATATTATTTTATTCCCTTAAATAACTTAATCTATCTACAATCTAATAAGAGTCAATAATATTAGGTCCTTAACTGGAATAAAAAAAATGTTGGTACTATTGTTTCTTAAAATGAATGGGTCATATTATTTTGATTTTAGTATTTTTAAATGATTTTTCTTATTTACCCCCTATTATATTATTTTATTCCCTTAAATAACTTAAGTTCCGTTAGTATAAAATTTAGTAACGGAATATTCCGTTAACTATTTATTATTTTTAACTTATTAATTTATATAAGAAAGATCTTAGGTTCGAACCCCATCACAATTAGAGTTGGAATACTTGTTAAACATATACTACGAATATGTTAAAATGTATTAAAAATATATAATATAAAATTTAACATAAACTTTGATCAAATAATTAGTCCAACTAAATACATAAACATTCAAAGTTAAACATCAAAGATTATAAATCAAGAACTTTAAAAATCATTTGATTTTTATGCATTAAAAAAAAAAATTTAGGTTATTTTTTTTTTCGTTTAATTAATCTTCTTTTGATTATTTAAATCAGAACAAAACTTAATATTTCAATTATATTTTTGCATTATTGGTATGATTTAGGTCGTTATGGTATTAATATTTTTTGTATGTATTTTTATAAATGGTACAATTGTACATTACTTTACAAATATTATACTATTATTTTTTTATCAGACAACTACCAAATATCAATAGATGCTTGTAAAATAAAGAGTTAATAGTACAACTAAGATCCCATCATATACACAACAACGCAAATCTAAAACTTTCTACATCATAATCTCATTGCACGACGAATCCATCTATGCTATACCACCACTAACCCAATTGCACATGACACACTACCAATAAAAGAAAAAGGACATGTACTGAAGATGAAGACATTGACAATGCTACCCAAAAGAGAATTAAGAAGAATTCGATAAATTTAAGCGAAAAGTAGTATTTATTTAGACTATCGTTTTTAGACTAGCGTTATTACAAAGTTGCAAATATTTATTTTAGTGACAATATAATCAATATTTCATATATTATCTTGCATTTATATACTTTAAATTACCGATTTAAATAAACAAATTCAACATTTAGTTTATTTACCTATGCATAAATATCTTCGATATAATATTGCATTGATATACTTTAAAATACTTATTTAAAAATAATCATTGGGCATTATTCCGTTCGCGCAAAACGCGTAAAAGAACTATTTAATTATATAAAGCACATCAGGTAACATACTTTTTTCTTTCCTTTTGTTTTGTTATTTGTTTGATTTTTTTTTTTTTTTTTTTTGAGATACCAAAGGAAAAGAAAATCAAATTACAAAAATCTTGTTTCAGTCATGCCCAAACAACGCAAATTATAAGGTGGATTGGGTCTAAATGTTCACGATTTATCTTTTAAAAATTTACAATTTGTATACTACGAACACATAATGTTAACATATATTTAATAGATTACCTTGTTTTGTATTCATAAGTTCCTTTCAAATATTGCAGTCACATTAACAGATTTGGATTTGATGACCTTGTATTGTATTCGTGAATTCCCTTCTAATGCTGTAATGCGTTTTGACTTAGAAACACAATTTATATTTTAGAAGTTCACAATTTTAATGCTAAAAATATATAATTTATACGCCGTTAAAGATCAGGGTCCACCTTGGAAAGTGGACTTAGTCCATGGTAATATGGTATAACAACTCCCCAAACAACCAGTCGGCTGTCTGGATATCTGTTAAACCCATGCAATCCTAATGACAAAAGGCCAATCCTGGACGCTATTTAATTCACACAACAATTAGGATGTGTTTGGTTTGCACATGGAATCAGAATCAGAATGGGTATCAAATACTTAGTAATGGTAATAGGTTTTAGTAAAAGTGTTTTGCATGTTTGGTAGTAGGGTGGAATGATGGGTTTTAGTGAAAGTGTTTTGCATGTTTGGTAGTAGGGTGGAATGAGAATGATTATCAATAATGTTGTTTGGTTTTGTATGATCCTATAATGTGAATAAAGATTTTAAAAATACAAAAACACAAAATCAAGATAATTGATAGGAATAAGGGAATGAAAAGGAGATGATACCCTTATTTTATTAGGGTATGAGTTTTTCAATTAATGGGGTATTTGAAAACCATAGTAGTGTTCTAACCTATCAACCAAACAATACCAATCACTTTGATACCCATTCATTAGAGTTAAACCCATGAACTAAACACACCCTTACAGCATGTTTGGTTCTCGGAATGAATTTTGGGGTAATGGGAATTCTATTCCATAAGGAATGGAATAGGCAAGGAATAAAATAGGAATTGTATTCTATTGTTTGGTTCGCGGAAGGAATAGACTTTAGGATTTATATTACAGTGTTTGGTTGGTTTAAGGAATAGAAATGAAATATGTTTTAAAAGACATAAATACCCTTATAAAAATATGTGTTGGTGGTGGCGGCAGTGGCGGTGGGTGGTGGTGGTGGCGGTGGTGGCGGCAGTGGTAGTGATGGTGGTGGCGGTGGCGATGACGACATCGGTGGTGGCGGTGGTGGTGGTGGTGAAATAGGAAATAAATTTAATTAGGCGTAAAGTAAGAAATATATAAATGTGTGTGTGTATCTAAAATCTAAAAACATAATAAGTTTCAATCCAGGTTATGTCCCTGATTTTATGTCCGTTTTTTCTGTTAACTTTTGTTGTACCTTATGCTATAAATGTTGTACTACATAATTATTTGGACAAAAATATCCTTGCCGTTATAACTTCTGTTATCTTTCACATTATTATTACCATGTACATGCATACACAATATCTTTTTTCTTACATTCTTCAATTGGTAAGTATGATTTTATTTAGATTTTAATTAAATGTTACCATAGTTATATTTAGTAATATATTATTTCTATAATTCTATGAATGGTAAATCATATATGTGTGTATAAAATACATATATTATTTGTGTATATATAACTCGAATTATAATTTTTAATTATTTATGTTTATCAATATTGGTAGGGTATATCCCGACCGACATAGGTTGGGTTCATCTTATTGTTTATGCAGGATCTTTAGGTCGGGTGTCGTTCAAGACAAGGCGGTTGGACCCGACCGCTGGGTTTCCCGACCGGTGTTATTTCCCGGTTATCGTGCCTTTACCTTATGAAGAGACAGGGATGTTGAAGAGAGGCACGTGACAATGTTATGCGTTGACAGAGAGGGCTCGCCGGATGAAGACGCGTGGAGGTTACGTGGGTTACATGCCGGTAGGCCGGAAGTTTGTCTTCGGCCAAAGGCTATAAGTACCCACGGCGGCTACAGTGAGGGGGACTTTTGGACGATCAATAGGTTATTTACAGACCTGCTCGACCGCAATCAGTCGGCCCTCGGGATAACCATCTAGATTGTACTAGGACTACTGTTGATCAATAAAATCCCCTTTTACTATTATTATTCGTTCTCAATCAGTACTTTGACCGCATTACGTGGATATTTGTACTATCATTTTGGCGCGGTCCGTTGGGACCCAGTACGAAAAGCTACTGTAGACGAGTACCACATCCCGATCATCATCATGTATCCATTCATGTATCAAGCACCGGAGGACGAGGAAGCTAGCTCCTCCGACCACAACTATACACAACACCAGGGTCAGACAATTGACCTGAATCTGAACCTTTCACCTCCTCGATCGGTGGCTCTCAACCCAATCAACTACATACAGCCTATGTATCCAACGCCCGGTCAATAATACCCGTTCTCGGCGAACTACCCATATCCAGTACCTCCTCCTCAGTATGGTTGTTGGCTTGGGACACCTATGTATTATCCACCTGTCGGTTATCCGCCATACATGCCTGTGTCCATGGCTCTAGTCTCTGCTCCCTTGAGCCAACCAGCAATACCGACCGAGCCCGAGGTTCAGCCCGGTTCTCGGGCTAGACGCTCGGCTCACTCGAGGTTGGGATCCCAGGGGGCAGGGGCCATGGAGGAACCATGGCAGGACATGCATGGCCAGGTGGCACATGAGCCCGAGCAGATGATGCACGAGCCCGAACCCGAAGACAACCGAGCTAGTGCGTTTGAGCGACTCCGACCAGCAATGAGGCAAAGATTGGGACCGCAGGATCCAAATAGGCGCTCGATTGATTCTCCTATGCGAGCAGCCAGTCAATCGGGATCGTCAGGACATAGTGGGTCTCAAGCACATCGTCGTCGACGGGCTCGGGAACCAGCCCGTACGGTCGAACAAGACGAGACCCGAGGAATGTTAAACGATCTCCGCGCAGAATTTACTCGTTGGCAGAACGAGCATGCCTCAAGGCCTCCTCCCAATCATACCGCTTTATTATTGCGGACACCCTTCACGGCGGAGATCATGGCTCAACCCTACCCGCTTGATTTGGGAATCCCTGGAAACAAAGAATATGACGGCCGGACAGACCCTGAGGTCCATATCAACACCTACTATAGCAATATGCTGATGATGGGCGTAACTGACGCCGTGATGTGCCGGACCTTTTACTCGACGCTTTCCTGTCGGGCGGCTGAGTCGTTCAGGACATTGCAACCGAGGTCCATTTCTGATTTCGCCAGTTTGGCAACCAAGTTCACTCGGAAGTTTGTAACATCCAAAGTTATCTGGAAGCCTTACATGTACCTTGAGAAAGCTAAGCAGTTGGAAGGAGAGAGCTTGATTGATTTTTTAGTCAAGTGGAAGGCAGCGGTCAAGCCAATGGATGACTTGACAGCCATTCACATGCTACACATTTCGCTCCAA